TAGATGAATGCCAAGAAGCTTGCGCAGCTATGACTGAAGCTGTTGCTATCGTACCTGATTTGCAAGATGAGGTGGGAGCGTTGAGAGCTCAATTACTAGTTCTCCAACGCGCGGTTGGCAATGGGCAAGCCACCGCACAAGAGCCTGTCCATGGGCTCAGAATTCTGGATCTGTGTACCTATGGAAGGGCACGTGATGCTAAAGAAGTTGATAACTTCTTGTTCAATATGGAACAATACTTTCTTGTGGCTTCGATCCAAGACGAAGCGAAAAAGGTTACCATGTATCTTGATGGAGATGCAAAGCTATGATGGCGGATGCAGTATGCTGATATTCAGGCCAACATGGTTCGAATAGATTCTTGGGATTTTCTCAAAGAAGCAATCAGATCTCAGTTTTTCCCAGAGAATGTGGAATATGAGGCACTTCGGGCCTTACTAGAACTGAGACACACAAGCTCCATCAGAGAGTAGTGAAAGCCATGGTTTGAAAAGGCGTGACTGAGGCGTACATATAGTGCCTCAAGGCTGTTCTTTTTGAGGCAAAAATAAGAGGCATGCGCCTCTTAAACTAAGGTGCACGCCTCACGGCTCGCACCTCACAGGGCGTGAGGCGTGCGCCTCTCTTAATTTTTTTTTTCCCCAGATTTATTAATACAAAAATGGCATTTTTTTTTTAAAGAGAAAAGGGCTCATTCAAAAAGCCATTATGGGCCCAAACAAAACAACAAAAAACCTAGAAAAATGAATGATATATGCAGCCTAAATTTTAAAAGAACTGAAAGTCAAAAAACAAAAAAAAGGGACCCCAACCGTCTTCTTCTGTACATCATCTGCATTCTGCTCTGGCCGGCCTCATTACTTTCATTCATCAGGTATTTCTTCTTGGCCTGCCCGTGTCTGTCTTCTTCTTCTTTCTTCTTGGTCTGTCCGTTTCTGTCTTCTTCTTTCTTCTTGGTCTGCCCGTTTCTGTTCATATGAAAGTAATATTTGAATTCTTGGTCTGCCGTGTCTGTTCATGTGAGTCTGTGTCACTGTGACAATATTTTTTTGCTTGAACTTCAATAAAGAATACTAGTGAATGACTGAATGGCAATCATGTTGGTTGTTGAGTATCTGAATATTGTTTGTTGGCTTGTTGCAACATGCAATTGGATGATGTATCTTTGATTTATAAACCAGCAATGAATCCGAACCTTCCCTGAAATTTAATGATTAATCGCTGTCAGGTCATTATTAAGAATTTAAAAAGATACTTGATACCAAGTATGCATTTGTGCTGATGAGATTTGTATTTTGTGAGGCTTACGCCTCAATCCGCCTTGAGGCTTACGTCTCGCCTCATAAAGAAAAAACGCCTCAGTACTTAGTTTCGCCTTTTTAAACCTTGGTGAAAGCTTTTACAGGACATATTCTGAATATTCGAGATATGTCAGAGAAGGACAAGCTATTCACCTTCA